ACGGGAATTATTTCAAATTCTGTATTTGAACTTCGTAATGGATACTACAGCCTATGCCGCAAAATTGTCTGTGCAGGTCCACGTTTCATAACCCCAATATATATTCTATATATTCGGTATTTTATTTATTTTAGCTACATTATAAACAGATTTTTTTTCAAGTTTCGCATTTAAATATTATAATAGCTTATGACAAAATTTGCCTATGCAGGTCCACGTTGTCGTATAGACCCTAATATACGGCTACATTCGGTATTTTTAAGATTTTAACAGAATTTTTAACCGATTTTATTTTATTTTTTTGTGAAAATTGCAAAATTTTTACCACATGGTGGAGGGTATTCAAAGTTCAGCCCGGCCGAACTTACAACTTTTTTACTTGTTTTAAATAAAATGTGAAATAAATTGTGCCACTTTCTGTGCCACCATTTAAAGTGATATGTGCCACTTTTTTTTAACTAATAATACTTTTTGTGATACTTTTTGAAAATTTCCAGCGGCCACACTGCATACACATTTGAAGTGATTTGAAGTGGCCTCATTTGATGTAAGTTTCCTTTATTAAGGCAGATCTATATTCTTCTATAAGGAAATGGATTTTTTATGTCATCTTTAAAATATTCGTTGGAATCTGATATAACTTTGATTTTTTCACTCTGTTCTTCAAGAGCAGTTTTATAGTTTCCAATTATCTCTTCAAGATTATCATTATCCTGAAAATTTTCATTTCCTTTGTTATCAATAACATTTGTTGGACTAAACTATGAAATTGATGTGGATTTACATCATCACTGATACCTTTTCCTTCTAAAACCATGACATCTCGTGAAATTTTACTTTTCCTTTGGTGCATGCAGACAACAACAACTGAATGCATGCAAATTGCTCAACTCCTAAAGATTGCTCCGAAATCTGTACCCTCGTCGTCATGATCAAGTTCTTTATCATCGGAATTGTCTGCACGATCCGACGACGATTCTTTAAATGTTTCAAAAAAACATAAAAGCAAAAATAAGATCACCAAGAAAAAAATCTTTCGAATAAAAAGGAAAAAACCTAAAAAAATTTGTAAATAAAAATAAAAGGCCACAAAGAAAAAAAACCAAGAAGCGAATGACTAAAAATGTAGCAGCAGTAAATCATAATCTTTAAATAGTTCGGGCTCGAAACAAATTGAAAAATGAAAGAATGAAAAATGGTGGAAATTAAAAAACAAAACGGCATTTGGGTGTTACACTCAAGATCGTTTGTTTGTCTTGTTCAAATTCCATTGGCCACTTGGTTAATCAAAGGGTGGCCCTAGAAATTCTAAGACTCTTGATTGAATCGCCGACTGATGATAATGTTGAAGTGGTCATAACATTTCTTAAGGAATGTGGTATGCAATTGACAGAGGAATCATCCGAGAGGTTTGGAGGCATTTTTGAATTGCTTAAAAATATCTTGCATGAAGGCAAGTTGGATAAATGTGTACAATATATGATTGAAGTTTTACTTCAAGTACGCAGAGATGGCTTTAAGGACCATCAATCGATTATTGAGTCCTTATAATTGGTAGCAGAATATGATCAATTCACTCATTTGCTATTGTTGGAAGATGTCACATACTAGATATATTGAGTAAGTTAATAGAACTTAATAAATAATTTTTTTTGTCATTAATTTTATTAATTTTTAGACGCATTTAAATTTGACGATCAGTACGAGAGCAATGAAGAGAAATATAAAGCACTTAGTAAGGATATTTTGGGTAGCTATGCTTCAGACTCGGATGGCTCCTTCGGTTCGGGTAGTAATTCCGAAACTGCATTATGTGACTGTGATAAGGGCAAAAATGAGGTTAATAATGAATACACAAGTGGTGACATTAATGATGAATCGAAAACAAATCTGATTGCGGTAAGAAGAACAATATAAATTAACAATAAAATAAATTCTAGTTTGGATTATGGGGAATGTGCCCAAAAATTAATGAAAATGCAATTGAAAAAAAGCCCCAAACAAAAAAACTAAGAAGCTAATGACAAAAAATGTAGCAGCAGTAAATCAAAATCTTCAAATAGTTCGGGCTCGAACCAAAATGAGAATGGAAAATGATAGAAAATCAAAAACAAAACGGCTTAAGATGTTTTAAACGGTCTGAATGTGTCAAGAAATCAAAGAAGCCCCTTTCGACACGGCCGAGAGTCTTCTACGTCCAAAAGGTCTGTCTCCAGGGACAAGGACAATCAACTAAGACGAAGATTAGGATCTACAGTCGATTTCGAAGACCGGAAAAACATCCATCAAGAACTCCACGACGAGTTCTTTCACCAAAAAGGCGACATGAACGACGTCGTTCAGTGTCGAAAGTGCGGATCGAAAGAAGGCGAGAGGAACGAAAGAGACGTTATGCAAAACGTGATGAAAGAGTAAAAATCAAAACGTTTCAGAATCGCCGATTGATGATAATGTAGAAGTGGCTATAACATTTTGAGGTATGAAATTGACAGAGGTATCATCGAATCATCGTGGAGGCATATTTGAGTCGCTTAAAAGTATCTTGTATTGGATACACATGTACAATATATGATTATATATATTGTTGACCGAAGCCATTAGTTGCGATGTTTTAGACTGCATAAAGCAAAATAAAGATGACGCCACAACTTCAATTCGTATTTCTTTCAATAATTGGTCGAATACATGGGTTTGGATCAGATTAATAAATCATGATCAAGTTCTTTATCATCGGAATTGTCTGCACCATCCGACGACGCTTCTTAAAGTTATTCAGAAAGTAGGAAAAAAACTTTAAGGCAAAAATAAGAAGATGCCCAAGAGAAAAAAATCCTCCGGATAAAAAGGGGGAAAAAACTAAAAAAATCTAAGTAAAGATAAAAAAGCCGCTAAGAAAAAAACTAAGAAGATACTGGTACTTCCCCGTACTACTTGGCGTTCGGACAGAATGTGATTACCAACGGCGCAGCATATTCCCTTCTTCGTTGGTTAGAAATGTTAGAAGATAGCCCTTCAAGCTTGTTGTATATCACCTTATGGTTATTTATATTTTAATCTATTATGGTAGCAATTTTTTCGCTGGCATTTATTGAATTAACTTGAACAAAAAGTGATTTTATCAAAAATTAATTTTTAAAGTTAACATTAATCCTGTAAACTGGTATTTTTTCCGGAGACACAATTTTTATACTCCAAAAACTGATATATAATTCACAAAATTTTGCCTTTTGGTAAGTTTTTTTAATATTGGTGAATTATCCGCATTATTTTTGATTGAATATAATAATAATTCAAATTGCAAAATATCATTGGATTGATAGACTTATTTGTATGTCAACGAAATTTTTCATTTAATACCCTCCACCATACTATGGAATGTATATTAATTTTGTCATTCCGTTTGTAACTCCTCGAAATACTCTTGTCAGACCCAACAAAGTATATATATTCTTCATCAGCGTAAAATTCTAAGACGATTTAGCCGTGCCCATCTGTGTGTGCTATCTTTCGAAAGAATTGAGATAGAAGGCTAAAATTTTGCACACAAGTTTATTTTTCCTGTAGGCAGGTTTATTTTGTAAATGGGCCATGTAGGTCCACGTTTTCATATAGCCCCCATATAACGGTACCTGCCGATATTCGGTAGTTTGATGATTTTAGCGTCATTATTCTCCGGAATTGTTTCAAATTACGTATATAGAGTTCGTAATGGGAACTACAGTCTGTGACAGAAAATTGTCTATGCAGATCCAGGTCTTCGTACAGGTCCCATACCTCCCTATATTCAGCATTTTGACGAGTTTGGGTACAATACCCACCAAAAATGTTTGAGAAGTCGTATTTGAAGTTCTTAATGGATTATGCAGCCTACGACAGAACATGGTCTATGCTGATCCAGGTCTTCACACAGCTCCATCATAACGGTATCTCCCTATATACGATATTTTGATGATTTTAGCTACATTAATTACCGTACATTATATTATATTCAAAGGTCGGGCCGGCCGAAATTACTGCTTTTTAACTTGTTCAACTTTTCAATTCCAAAACAAGTTTATCAACAGAACAGTGTTGGCTTGTTTGTTCGGGATACCATAGTATTTTTATGTTGAACACTGGTCAGGCTTAATCCCTTTATTGTTGTTTTTATAAAACAATGTTTTTTATTAGTGGAGAACGATGATAATGTTTACCAGGGGTTAAGGCAGGGAATACCTAGGTTTCGGAAAGAGCCACTAATCCTCATCAGTTCCCTTGTTTTTGTCTGGGATATTCTCCCCAGAAGTTATTTTAAAAATAACTTCTATGACAAAAAAACATTTTTTACCCAAGTGAAGAGATTGTAAGCTCAATAGAAGAGGAAACAAAGAATTAAATAAACTAAAATTCTTTTGGAAAATCTTCTATATCTTACAACCGCACTTATAAACATTTACATTTTTCTCCACTTATTATGCTTTCGGTCTACCTAAACGAAGTAGCATAACCATGTAAGTTGGTTTGTCTGTTACAACAAAAACCCCTTCGTCGACCGTGCCTTGTCTATTAATAGAACAGTGTTGGCTTGTTTGTTTGGGATACCATAGTATTTTGTTGTTGAAAAATGGTCAGGCTTAATCCCTTTATTGTATGTTTGGTATCCCAAACAACAAGCCAACGTTGCACGGTCGGCGAAGGTAAATTTGAAAAAGTGATGCCAAGTTCATGTTGTTTTTTGTACAACACGTCAGACGTGTTGCAAAAATACAAAACTGGGGATAATAGTGGGTAGGTAGAACACCTAATAAAGGTAAATAATAAATGTCAGGGAAATTATGGAAAAATCTTGGAAAAGAGGGAAAGCTTGGTTGAGCGTCCTTGGTGGCCGTATATAAAGAACAGTGAGGGCTAAAAACGCATTTATTTCAAAGTCGTGTGGAACAGAAAAAAACAGTTCTGTCAATTTTTTATTATTTTTTTTTTGTGAATAAAAATAAAGTAAGGAAATACTAAGTTGGCAGTTACTATTCGTGTGTTTTATTTGTGTGGCGTATCTAAACAATGTATAAGTGGTGTTATGTCGGATATGTTGTGTTAAATTTTTGTGTGTTTTAATTAGGGAAATAACGCCGCGCATAAATCCACAATTGGATAACGACATCCGACTTAAACGAGAAAAGAGCGGGCATCCCCAACAATCGTTTTTTGAATCGCCAGGCGCGGAACCGAGGTTCCAGGCCCAGAAAAGAACCCGGAAACTGACAGAAGCTGGAAACAGCTGGGAAACGGCCAGTGAAAAAAACAGGCGACAGTACCGATCCGGGAAGCTAACAATAGATACAAAATCTGTAAAAGAAGAAATAGAAAAAAAAAATGAAATTCGTCGATTAAAGATTATTGGCATTTAACCAAAAGAAAGAAAAAACTAAACTAAAACTAAATGTATTGTTTGTAGTTAGATAAATAGTGCTTAAGAGATAATAGTAAAGATATTTAATGCCCAGGTAATTTTTCCTAAGTGAGTGTAGGGTTTCCTCAAAATTTACAGCTAGACTACGTCTATATTTTTTTGGGACAAGAATTTAGAATGCCCAAAACTTTCGTCTAAGCGAGATCCTTTAGGCTGAATTTAGAGTAGTTTTATTAGCCAAAGTTTGGCGCTCCTAGCGGTGTAATAAAAAAGGTAATCTGAGTATTGACACACAAATTTTCTCGTTCGGGTATTAATAGTCCAGTTTTTTTTCTTATGTGTTCATGTTGAAATTAGTTTTAAGAGAAACAAATAAATAAGTTTAATGTCTAAATGTTTCAAGAATAATATGTTGTGCTAAATTTTGTTGTTAGAGAGGAGGTTAGGCGTTGTAAGTAAGAGAGTGTGTGTGGCTTTTTGGGGCCCTTTGAAAATTTTTGTGTGTATATTGTCTAAATGGTCAAGGATGGGTGGGCATATTGGGGGAGCAATAATATCAAGCTCCTGTGTCATAGGTGTATGTTGTTTATGTATGTTTTTTTCGTTTTTTTGTTTATGTGGGTTGATGGTGGAAGGGTTGAGATCCCCCTGGATAACCGCTCTCTCCTGAGCGTAAGCCGAATGTAACAATATGGCGCCCAAATTCAAAGAAAACATTAATATCTTCCAGATATTAGCCAATAAAAATGTACAATAAAATCTACGTACTGTGCAATATACCATAGGAGGCAATAGATTTGAGCTAAATATCGCATTTTTTACATGCTTGTGAATATTGCAACAACTTTCTAAGTAATTAAAAAGTGTCAATAATGCAATATTTAGCACAGAAAGTAAAAAATTTGGATATTCTGTTCCAAAGATTAGGGTCATTCATGTTTTTTTTTTTTTTTTTTTTTTTTTGAAAATCATATACCGCACACACATCTTATCACAGCTGAACCCCTTTCATATTTGTCATTGTCTTTGAATAATTAATTTTTGCTTTTTTTTTTGTTAACCTATTGATTTATATATGTTTTGTTTTTTATTAATCTATTCACTCATATATGTCTTTTTTTTTTTTTTTTTTTTTTTTTGTTAACCTATTGATGTATATATGTTTTAGTTTTAGTTAATCTATTGATCTATTAATTAGTTTGTAGTTCATATTTATCCTTAGTTAATTGCCTATACATTTTGAAACCAACCATACAAGTATTTACAATTTTTCATATATATTTATATCAATGAACTCAGCTAGGGTAGGGAAAAAGACGCAGAAAAATAAATATATCGTTAGCGTTTGACCTTAGCAGAACTTCAATTACATCACCAAAAACTAAGAAAAAAATGCAGGTTCAATTAATAACTCTAATCCTAGCACTAGTGCTGCAGCTAAGTTGCCTTCTAACATGCCCCAACCCACTGTGCCAATGCAACCAAAAGAAGTTGACCAACTTGTCAGAAGTTTTGTGCAAGATAGTTTGAACCATGATCAGGCAAATCTGCAGGAGCTGGTTAAAAATAGCGTCAGTAAGAAGATGGAAGAGGTTTACACTGTAGTAGACAAATTATATGATGCGATTGCAAAATTGTCAATCAGCAATCAAAGCGCACCACCAGTTCAGATGCCTCAACTGATTCCTACATTAAATCCTAAACCCCTTTCTCCACCCACAATTAGAGTAAATAACCCACCTATTAACCGTACCCACACTATTACTCCATCCTTCATGAGTTCTCAAAATTGTCAAGGTATAAGAATTGAGAGATTTGGGATAAACTTCTCTGGTAGACCCAATACAGTAGAAGACTTTATATACCGACTAGAACATTTTCAAAAACTTTTCAACATTCCATGGGAAGATATGTTGAACGAGTTCCATGTTTTAGTTTCAGGCCGTGCTATTGAATGGTTCTGGCTAGAACAGATTAATAGCAATATTTCCACTTGGCAGTCATTAAAACAAGCCTTATGTGAGAGGTTCAAAACCCAAAGAACATGCTTCGAAGAAATGTGTGATTTGTTAGAGTGAAATCAAATGCCAGGAAAGTCGATAAACTCGTTCTTCCATTACATAAACGCAATGAGATCTAAGCTAGAAGACCAGTTTCGGAATACGAAATGATCTCTCTGGCTAAGAAAAATGTGCGAAAAAATATTTCAGGTATTGTGTATTCGATGCAAGTATCATCACTTGAGCAATTGAGAATTGAGTGTATTGAGACTGAAAAGACATTCTTTCGACGCGATCCTGCCCAATTCCTACTCCGACTTACAATAAACTAGCTCGTGTAAATGCATAAATGCATAAAGAGAATGAAGAAGAAAACCTTTCAGGTATACGAAGAACCAGAGGAAGTAGTAGATATTTCAGCAGTCAATGTTCAATTGGTTTGTTGGAATTGCCAAACTCCAGGCCACGGATTCAGGGATTGTCTTTCTACTCAAAGAAACTTGTTTTGCTTTAAGTGTGGAAAGCAGAATACCAATACGCCGAAATATCCAAATTGTCGATTGGGAAACTAGAGGAAGAACCTGGTTACAGTGGGAAACCACCGTTCTGTCGAGAAGCCCGCCGACCAGAACAACTTAGAAACCGACAACCGACTTAGAAAAAAATAAAACCGAGAAACCGAGAAAAATTTACCCTGAAATTCGACATTAATTACCTTTGGAGGTCAGGGAACAAAATTATAACGAAGTAAGGTCAACAATATTTGGAGAAGAAGATCCAAATGAAAATAAAGATCCAAAAGCCAAATCAAAAACAATTTAAGAGTTTTGCCTTATTAAGGCGAAGATCATATGTTTTATGATTTATGTGTTTGATTTCTCTTTCGAAACGAGCTTAATGATCTGAAATTAGCAGTGAAAAGGAAAGCCAGATAGACACTATCACACACTCATGTTTTATGATTTATGATTTTAAGATCATTAAGCTCGTCTCGAAAGAGAAATCAAACACATAAATCATAAAGCATATGATCTTCGCCTTAATAAGGCAAAACTCAAAAATTCAGCCGAGCCTGGATGTGGGATTTGAACCGCGGACTTCGGTGTGCAGCCAACTAGAAGTTGCCGTCTCTACGTTCAGAGCCATTAACCGTCTTCCTAAAGTAGCACTAAAACAAGTGTATGCATTGGAAGCAATGTAGTTGTCGTGGACAAAAAATCCTTCACTACAAAAAAAAAAAAAAAAAACTTTGCTGTGAGAAAGAGAACGGCCCTTGTAAGCCATCAACCACACCAAATATGCCTGATGAGCCGCTTAACCAACGGCGAAACGCGTCGCATAGTGGTGAGTGTGTGATAGTGTCTATCTGGCTTTCCTTTTCACTGCGAATTTCAGATCATTAAGCTCGTCTCGAAAGAGAAATCAAACACATAAAACAATTTAAATTGCTAAAGAAATCAATGTCTGAATTGATAGTCCGATACCAATATAAAACAGATTTCAAACCATACGTCACGATATAAAATTGAAGGAAAGGAAGTTAGGGGTTAATAGACTCTGGCGCTACAGTCAGCCTACTGGGAAGAAATTGTAGAGATATAGTGGAAGAGATAGGAATAAATGTGAAACCCTATATTTCAAATGTCACCACTGCTTCTGGTCAACGACACCGCATTTTAGGTACAATTGAAGTCGATGTTGAATATCAAAATCAGTTAGCTAAAATAAAATTGTTTCTATGTTCTAGCTTAGGCTTAGGAAAAGGTCAGCGCAATTCTAAAAAAATAGCGATACCAAAGACTCCAAGAGAAGTAAGAAGCTTTTTAGGAACGGCTGGGTGGTACCGTGGTTTCATACAAGACTTCGCTTCCATATCCGTTGCTCTAACGGATACCTTAAAAAAGGGGCAGAAATTTACGATGACACCTCAAGCCTGTGAATCATTTCGAACTCTGAAGAAAGCTCTCACCTCGGCACCAGTATTTCGACATCCCGATTTCCAACAAGAATTTTTCATACAGTGTGACGCATCTGAGTACGGTATTGGAGCCGTTCTTTTCCAAAAATATGATAATGGTTGGGAATATCCAATTTAATTCTACTCGCAAAAACTAAATTCAAGTCAGAGAAATTATTCGGTAACTGAGAAGGAATGCTTGGCTGCGGTTCTTGCCGTAAAAAGATTTCGACCATACGTGGAATGTATGAAATTCACCATGATCACAGATCACGCAAGTCTCAAGTGGCTTATGTCACTAAAAGATTTATGTGGAAGACTTCCCAGATGGTCTCTGCAGCTTCAAGCTTTTGATTTTTCAATCGAATACCGAAAAGGATCTGAGAATGTTGTGGCTGATACCTTATCCAGTCTACCAATTGAATCGGAAATAGCAGTCAAAGAAATAAGTAACGATGATATTTTGGATTTCGAAACCACGGCGTTTGACAGCGAACAGTACCTGGAGTTACGAAAAACAATATTAGAGAACCAAAAAAGACATACATAAGAGTGAACAATTTTGATGAAACGACGATGGAATTTGAATGAAAATTGTGGATGCCGAAAGAAAAAAAAAAAAAAAAAAAACATTATGTTGATTTCCTCGAAAAGTATCCCAGATCCAAAAATGGAAACGCCTATATTTTTATATTCATGGACCATTTCACTAAATTCATATTTTTACATGCGATGAGAGAAGCTATTCGTCGTGGAATTTCTGGAGGTTCCCAGAAACAATACATAGTGGCAATGGAAAACAATTTGTCTTAAATCTATTTCAAGAAATGATTAAGAATTACAAAATGAACCATTTAACGACTGCGTAATACTCTCCACAATCAAATGCGGCAGGGAGAGTGAATCAGTCTGTACTGGCGGCTATAAGGACTTATGTCGAGAAAGATCACCGAGATTGGGACTTATACCTATCTGAAAT